TGAGAGTCTTCAGCTGCCTCCAGGAGATGTTTGTGCTCCTCTGCCGTGAGCCCCCGTGGGCAGCCTGGGGTCGGGATCATTCCTGGGGGGTTTCTGACTCCATGGAAAGGAATTCTGACTCTGGGAAAGGAAAATGCAGGCAGGGAGAGGGAATGTCTGCATTCCTTCAGTCTGCCCCTTCGGCCTCGGCATTCCCACGGAACATCCCAGCCCTCCTCGGCCCTGGGGACAAACCTGGAGCTGCTTGAAGGAAAAGCTGGGGAAATCCTCTGGGAAAATGAGAGTTCTGGACTCTGCAGTGCCCGGGCCCAGACAGAATGAACATTCCTGTGCACTGCAGATGCTCCAGACTGGAGGGCCTGAGGGGGAGGCTGGGATCCATTCCCAGCTTTTATTTAAGGCATGGGCACTTGCGAGCCCCTAAATCCCTTAAAGAAAAGGGTGCAAGGATGAAAGAGCAGGAAAATCCCTCCCCACGTGCAGGGCATCCCCTCCCCGCTCCCAAGGGCTGCGGCAGACGTGGAAAAACAAGAGTGGGAATGAATTTTTATCTGTGTCCAAGGCGAGGGAGCCAGCCTGGGCTGCAGGGAGAGAACATTCCATGGGCTGCCAGGGCTGATCCCACGGGACACGACCTGGGAGCTCCTGTTTTGGTGAGGATTTGACGGCTGCCAGCTTTTCTGGGGGCAGGATGAGTGTCTGGGGGGCGTGTGATGCTGAAAGTGATCCCAGCCCATGGTGCCACAGCCCACCGTGGAAACCGCAGAGGTTTCCAGTGCCTGGAAACACACTGAAATATCTGCAGTGGCAGCAGACAGTTCCTGGTTTGTTTTTTTTAAAGCAGTCCAGCTCAGAATGTCAGATTCTGAAGTCATCCTCACCCGTCTGCCTCTGCCTGCCCCTGTCTGGGGAGGGTGGCTTGGTCCAGGCTGCTCCCCCAGCCTGAGGCAATCCAGCAAAAATAACCCACTTGCAAAATAAAATCATCTGGTTTTTCCTTAAAGAAGGACGTGGAGGCAAATAACCTGTGGAGGGTGAAAGGGGAGTTGTTGGCAGAGCTTTTTTTGTGTCCTGAGGGCTCTGGGAGCCTCCTGTGGCAGCAGCTCTCCTCCAGCCACAGCAAAGCCCAGCTTGCTCCCTGCAGCTGCAGGAAAATCCTACAAGATGCTTTTCTGGAGACTGAGGAAATTTGCATTGACCCAGATAACGCAGGGAGATGCAGAGAAATGCAGTTTTAATTCCTGACTGTGCCAATGGGTGAACTGAGGGTGACACCCTCTCCTTTCAGGGGCTAAAAAAAAACCCCAAACCCCAAGAAAAGTGTTCAGCACAATTTTGTCCCTGGTCCCTCTGGATAATTCTGGGGGCTTTTTGACAAAGAAACCCAGGATTAATTCCTGCTGGCAGATTCCTGGTTCTTTAAACATCCCCGTGTTCTCTAGAGCAGGCAGGGGGAGCTTTGGGTATTGCTGTTGTATAAATACAATATATTTATACAATATAATATAACAATATAATCTGGTTTATAATTTCTCTGGGTTTCCTCCCCAGTTTTCCCAGCTGGGGACAGCCCTGCAGTGCTGGGCTCCTGGCCCTGCTCCTCGCTCCCTGCTGCCGACAAACCCCAACAGGAGCCAAACGAGTTCAGTGCCACCCTCTGGAATAATTCGGAGCTAAACCAGCAGAGAAGGGGTTTGAGTTTATTTGGGGTGGTTACAGCAGTGTCCGTGTGCCTGTCGGGGTTTCCTGAGCTGTTCACCTCAGTGCCACTGTCACCCTCGGGCTGGTGTCACCTCAGTGCCACTGTCACCCTCAGGCTGGTGTCACGTCAGGGATGGCATCACCCTGGAATGGTGCCACCCCAGGGCCAGTGCCACCCCAGGGCCAGTGCCACCCTGGAGACGCTGTCACCCCCAGGCAGGGTCTGGCTGTCCCCTCTCACCCCTGGCTCCTGCTCCTCGAGGCTCCGGGGACGGTGCTGGTGCTCAGTCTCTGGAGGCAGCGATGCGATCGACCTGCAAAAGGGACAGGCAGCCATAAAAACAACAGCCCTGAGCACAGGGAATGATCCACCTGGACAGGGAATGATCCACCTGGACAGGGAATGATCCACCTGGACAGGGAATGATCCACCTGGACAGGGAATGATCCACCTGGACAGGGAATGATCCACCTGGACAGGGAATGATCCACCTGGACAGGGAATGATCCACCTGGACAGGGAATGATCCACCTGGACAGGGAATGATCCACCTGGACAGGGAATGATCCACCTGGACAGGGAATGATCCACCTGGACAGGGAATGATCCACCTGGACAGGGAATGATCCACCTGGACAGGGAATGATCCACCTGGACAGGGAATGATCCACCTGGACAGGGAATGATCCACCTGGAGAGGGAATGATCCACCTGGACAGGGAATGATCCACCTGGACAGGGAATGATCCCCCTGGACAGGGAATGATCCACCTGGACAGGGAATGATCCACCTGGACAGGGAATGATCCACCTGGACAGGGAATGATCCACCTGGACAGGGAATGATCCACCTGGACAGGGAATGATCCACCTGGACAGGGAATGATCCACCTGGACAGGGAATGATCCACCTGGACAGGGAATGATCCACCTGGAGAGGGAATGATCCCCCTGGACAGGGAATGATCCACTCAACAGGGAATGATCCCCCTGGACAGGGAATGATCCACCTGGACAGGGAATGATCCACCTGGAGAGGGAATGATCCCCCTGGACAGGGAATGATCCCCCTGGACAGGGAATGATCCCCCTGGACAGGGAATGATCCACCTGGAGAGGGAATGATCCACTCAACAGGGAATGATCCACCTGGAGAGGGAATGATCCACCTGGACAGGGACAGGCAGCCATGGAAACCACAGCCCCTGGCTGGCCTGGCTGGGTCCTGTGGGCCACCTTTGAGCCACCCCATCCATGCCCAGAGGAACTCAGCCCATCCAGCACTTCAGGCTGTGTCTGAGGGCCCGAGGGAGGGGACGTGGCTGTGGGGGCTCAGCTGGGGAGGAGGAGGAGGATGAGAGCGACCATTCCCTGTCAGCAGGGGCTGTCACACACATTCCCTGGGTCACACAGGCCTGGCCCTCCCGTGCTTTGGGATTTTTGCTGTGTGCATCCTTCCCAGATTTGTGCAGTCCCCAAAACCCCCCTGAATTCCAGCGGGCAGTGCCTGAGGCTCAGGCCGGGGCTGGGGGTCACCCTGTCCCTCCTGTCCTGTCCTGGGGGTCACCCTGTCCCTCCTGTCCTGTCCTAGGTCACCCTGTCCCTCCTGTCCTGTGCTGGGTCACCCTGTCCCTCCTGTCCTGGGGGTCACCCTGTCCCTCCTGTCCTGTCCTGGGGGTCACCCTGTCCCTCCTGTCCTGTCCTGGGTGTCACCCTGTCCCTCCTGTCCTGGGGGTCACCCTGTCCCTCCTGTCCTGGGGGTCACCCTGTCCCTCCTGTCCTGGGGGTCACCCTGTCCCTCCTGTCCTGGGGGTCACCCTGTCCCTCCTGTCCTGGGGGTCACCCTGTCCCTCCTGTCCTGTGGGTCACCCTGTCCCTCCTGTCCTGGGGGTCACCCTGTCCCTCCTGTCCTGTCCTGGGGGTCACCCTGTCCCTCCTGTCCTGGCTGGGGCAGCTCCCTCAGGCCCCCCTGGGCTGGGCACAGCAGAATTTCCACTGGCAGCACTTGCAGGGCTGGGGAAAGGAGCTGCTGCAGGGAATGCCAGCAGGAATGTGAGTCCTGCAGAGCACAGGGGCTCTGTCTGTGCTGCTCTCCTGCTGGGGAGGAGCTTTTGTGGCTCCAGCTGCCTTTTCCATGCGCTGGAGGCTGGCTCTGGGTACATCCCTGGGGTTTGCCCGTGTCCCCCTCGCAGCCCCAGCGTCCTGCCCAGCCCCAGAAGGATCCAGGGAGGGGAGGCAGCCAAAATCCTGCCCGGAGGCTCCCTGCTCATGGACAGGACAGGCTGTGCCACCCCTGCAGCTCCTGGGTGTCCCCTGCCCTCCCTGCTGGGGACGTGGAGCTGGGCTGGGCTGTCCACCCTGCCCAGGAGGCTCCAGCCATCCCCTCCTGGTGCAGGAGAGAGGGAATGAGGAGCTGGGGGAATGAGAGGAGCTGGGGAAATACAGGAACACAGGGAATGAGGCACTGGGAGGGAATGCAGGAACACAGGGAATGAGGCACTGGGAGGGAATGCAGGAACACAGGGAATGCAGGAACACAGGGAATGCAGGAACACAGGGAATGAGGCACTGGGAGGGCCCAGCTGCTCTCCAGATTTGCCCATTGCTGCCATTTGCTGCAGCTGGGCTTTGCTGATTTGTGATTTAGCCCTGAACAAAGAGCCCTGGCTGAGCTCCCCTGGCTCTGGCCAGGCCTCCTGTGCTGGCCCTGTCCTGCACAAGGTCCCAGAGCCCTGGGGAGCCGAGCTGTGCCCAGCTCAGGGCTGTGCCCAGCTCAGGGCTGTGCCCGGGGCCCTGCACTCCCTGTTTGTCCTGTTCCTGTCCACAGGAATCTGTGAGGACCATGGGAATCAGGAAAGGGCAGGTGAAATATGAAAAATGAATCTGACTGAAAACAGCCTCACTGCTCAGGAAAGGGCGAGTTAAGCCCTGGGGTTTTCTGCTTTGTTCATCCAGCCCCTAACTTCCACAGGGCTTGCCTGTTCTCCATGGATTTAACTAAAGACCAGTAATTCCATTTGTTTCATGTAGGGCACTTGATTTTATTCAAAGGGTGAGATACAAAAGAAGTAAGCAAAGAGACAAAACCCAAATTATAGAACAGACAAAGTAAGACATCTTCTGCATACAGCACACGACAGAAACACGGTACAGTCTGGTCCCCAGAACCCAAGCCAGCTGGATATTTACAGCAGAGAATCTACAAGGGAGGAAATGTGGGTTTGCCACTCAAATGTCTATTTACAGAAACTGAATTGAAGGCAAATAGTTTTCTTTCTTTTTGTTTTTTTTTTGTTTGTTTTTTTTTTTGTTTTCAACCCAAATACTTCTGTTTCTTCTTCCTGCTTCTGGTGAAGAGAAGGGACTCCTGCTTTGAGGCAAGCTTGGTACATTCAGGTAGGATCTAAAATCAGCTAAACACCAGTGTGCTACTGAAGCTGCTTCAGTCCCTCCATCCAACACAGCCACCTTGCTTGTGGCATCAGGGACTCCTGGGGACAGCCAGGGCCAGTTCTGCTCTGGTGTGGGTTTGATTTGTGCCTTTGAAGGCTTCCCTCTGCAGCTCAAGCACCCCTCTGTGTCTGGGCTGGGCTCAAGGCTCCAGGCTGGGGGTTCTGTGTGAGGCCCACGAGCTCCATCCCACGAGGCTGGGAAATGCTCTGGGTGATTTTTGGCTCTCTCAGCACGGGGGGTTGAGCCTGACCCAGCACAGGGTGTCCCCACCTCACCCAGGAGATGGCCCTGCCCAGGCACTGATGGGCTCTGGTGACAAATCTGGGGAAAAAACTGCCCACAGCCCTTCTGTGAGAGCCAGGGAGGGGAAAAAACCTTTCTGTCTGCAGCATATTGCATGTGCAGCTCAATTTCCACGTGTGCGGAATCTGTCTGGGCAGAGACGTGTGCTGGGCTGGGTCTTTGGTAATTAAATTTGGTAATTAAATTTAATTTGGTAATTCAAACCCCCCCAAGAGCTCAGGGCTCCCCTCTGAGTCTCTGCAGGTGAGGAGGTTACACCAAATGAACCAAAGCAGGCAGGAATAGAAGCTGCTATTCCAGATGGCAAAGGCCTTGATCTGTATTTTGTATTTACCTGTGGCTCAGTTTTAGAGAAAGGGCTACTGAGTTTTTCAACACCTCAGTGAGGAAGGAGAGAATTTCACTGGCTCAGTAAGCAAAACATTCATTTGGGAGAGCAGAAGACTGACTGGCTGTTAATAAATACCACGAGACATCCTAAGAGTTTTCTAAGGAAAAGAGAAACATCATCTGTTCATGGAAATGCAACACGTGGACAGAATGAGGTAAGGAAAGCTAAAAAGAGTCCTTTGTACATTCTCACTTCACACTGCATGGCAACAACAACAACAACAACAACAACGAGATGCTGAACGGGTTCCCTGCCACGCTCAGCAGAGGAATTCTTCATGCAGGTGTGCTCCAGAGCATCCTGTGAGGCTGAGCCCTCAGCATCCCCCAGGCTCCCTGCAGCAGGCAGGGTTTGACACTCCAGGCAGGAGCAGGGCTGGCACTGCCTGCTCCCCTGGCCCACCAGTGCCTCCAGCTACGAGGAACGAGGATTTGTGTGGCACAGCACAAACCCAGCACGAGCTGCACTGCCAGACTGGGCATTTCTAACTCAGCCTCCTGCTCTTTGGTCCTCTTTGTGCACAACTTCCACAAACAGCCTGCACTAACAGACCTGGATTGAGCAGCAGCTCGTGCTCAGGGGGTGTTTGCCCCCTGCCCTCGGTGCAAGGCGGGGTAAAAGCAGCGCTGGCTGCAGGAAAAGGGAGTTCCACAATTCCCCTGAGGGGCTGTTTGAGGTGGGATTCTGTTCTGAGAACAGAGGATGGACACTGCACATCCCTGTGCAGCCAGGGGAGCCCAGCCTGCAGCCAGCCCTGCACAGGGGCTCTTGAGCAAAGCTGCTGGGGGAGGAGGAGGAGGAGGAGGAGGAAGAGGAGGAGGAGGAGGAGCTGTCCCCCACCTGTGAGCATTGCACAAGCCTTGTTTTCCCCTTCAGGACAATCACCATCCTCCAGTGAAGCAGGAAGGGCTGCAGGTCACGTTTAGGCAGAGGCACAGCTGCCCCAGGCCTCACACACAGCACTGGCTGAACTAAAATGCAGCATTTCCTACTTTGTTCTTAAACAGACACTGGCAGCACAAGGTGTTCATCAATGAAATCTGCAGATGACAGATTAATAAACACACACACTGGCTTTGAGAGGCTGCTTCCAGGCACGCAGCATTTCATTCTCATCGTGAAACTGAGCCTCCAGCTGACACTGAACTGAAGTGAAATAGTTCCTGTGGGTTTATACAAAGCAGAATGGCCACAGAATTTGGGAATAGCTTGCTCAGGGCAGCTGTGGTCCCCTGTGCCAGGGGCTGACAGGGCACTGGGCAGTCCCCAAGCACTGCATTTGCTAAAGCCATTTTTCAGGGGCAGTGAATGACCTGGAATATTCACCAGCACCGTTTTGTACCTTGTGGCATGGTTTGACAGTGCCTGTGTAAAGCTAATTCAAAACCCAGCAGGATGGGAGGAAATTCACCTTTTCACATTGGGAAATACATCACAACTGCCCTTTGATGACTCTGAAAAAGTCAGGTTTTCAGTTCTGAAGATCTATTTCCTGTGTCATTTTTGATTCTCCTCAAGCTTGTTACAGAAATATTACCAAGGTATTTATTTCTGCCATGTTTATGGAGCCTTTTTATCCCCTTCAGGTGTGTGCACAGCTGGGTCACTCAGGTTCAGTTCAAGGGGAAAATCCTCAGCACAGGAAAACTTCCACTTGTTTTAAAAAGCCCCAAACACCAGCAGCAGCAGCAGCAGCAGCTCAGAGCGAGCTCTGGTCACTCCTTTGGCCACAGCCCAGAGCTCCCAGCCCCAGCTGGGTCCCACAGCACCGAGATTGTCACTTGCTCTGTTTTTGGCACAGCTCAAACCCTTCTGCAGCAGCATCACCTCCCTGGCAGTGCCCTGGTGAGCTCAGCTGAATTCCCTTTTGCACCTGAGGCAGGAATTTACCCCAAAGGCTTGCCTGCAGCTTCATTCACTGATAAAATATCTGCACAAGCATGAGCAGGAGCAGCTGCTGCTCCAGCTGTGTGTTCTGGTGTCCTGCTGGGAGCATGGCAGGGCATTGCCAGTTCCTTCAGAGGTTTCTCGTCAGTGACTGGAATGAGCCACAAGGGGTAAGAGACAATGACATCAGCTCAGAGGAAAGTGGAGGGCCCCTTACCTAGAAGACTCAGCAATCTTTAAGGAAAACCTTTTAACATCTTCCATGGAAGTCTATTGATCAAAAAAACCCAGAGCTGTCGACATAGCGTGTGGAATCGATTGGACAATCACTAATGTAATGGAATTATGGTGATCTTATACACAAACAACAATTTACCAAAATAAGATTTACCTAGGGGGCTTTAAAATCGAGTTATTTTGGTACCAAAAAAAGTCTTTCATTTAATTCCCCTTTGCCCCTATGAGTCAGATGATCTTTCACTCTACAGTTACGGACTTGGCCAGATTTCTTGGAAAATCAACCTGCAGAGAGGGAGGAGAAAGAACAGGCTGGTGAGTATTTACACACTTGGTTTGTTTGTGTATAACTTTGTGATGTGTGGAATGTCTGCTCTGTCTTTCAACTGAAAACAATCCAACATGTTCTCACGTTAATTTAGAACAATCAGTGCAGAAAAGAGTCCACAACCTTAATTAAAGTTACAACACTTCTGCCAGAACTAAGGAGCGAGTCCCTTTAGTCCACGTTGTTCCAGCGCTCAGAGGTCACTGATACCAGGCCAGTGTCTGTGTTAAGATCAAACAGCCAACACCAAACACCCTTCTGAGGACTGCCACCTTCCCTTTAGCTCCCCAGCACAGCCTGGCTGCTCCTACAGAGCACAGAGACACGTCCCAGCTCAGCTGCACCAGCCCCAGCCACGTGTGCTGGGCCTGCTCCCAGCTGTGCCCTGGCCACCGCTGGCCCCGGGCACTCAGCAGCTCCAGCAGGGCACAGCCAACCCCCCGAGCACTCAGCAGCTCCAGCAGGGCACAGCCAACCCCCCGAGCACTCAGCAGCTCCAGCAGGGCACAGCCAACCCCCCGAGCACTCAGCAGCTCCAGCAGGGCACAGCCAACCCCCCGAGCACTCAGCAGCTCCAGCAGGGCACAGCCAACCCCCCGAGCCTTGCAGCAGCAGCAGCAGCACCCAGGAGTGCAGGGAGAAGGGTCGCTACTCACATCATAGCCCCTGAGCACGGCCAGGTGGAAGGCCAGCAGCTGGAGGGGGATCACGCTCAGGATCCCCTGCAGACAGTCCACTGAGTGGGGAACTTTGATTGTTCTCTTGTTGTTCTTGATGGTCTCGATGTCCTCCTTGTCACAGATCACCACAGGCCGGCCCTGCAACAGAGGGGAAGGCTGAAGGAAAGCCGATGTGTGGAAGGTTCTTCTCTCGCTTCTGTGCTGAGCGCCAGTGGCAAAATTTATGACTTAATTTAGAAGCAAACAGCTTCACATCCCCTGGGCAGCCCTGTGGGGCGTTTAAGGGTTAACCAGACCATGCCAGGCTTCTGCAATTGCTGCAAAAACTGCTGCTGGAATGACCACAGCATTCACTGAGCTCACACGTGGACAGTGACACCACAGTGAACAGCCTGGCTGTCTGTGAAATGCTTTTCTGTCAGAAGCATCACCTCTGGTGCACTGCAGACCTCCCAGGCCCTCACCTGCCGTGCAATGACCTGCTGGAGAGCGTTCTGGCACTTGGCATAGGTGTGGTCTCTCATGATGATCATGATCACAGGCATGAGCTTGTCCACCAGGGCCAGGGGGCCGTGCTTCAGCTCCCCGGCCAGGATGCCTTCCGAGTGCATGTAGGTGATTTCTTTAATTTTCTAGAGGGGCAGAAAAGAATTCATCAAACTTTGAGCAACCTTGTGATGTTTTTTTTAAGCATCTCTGTCAATTCTTGCACTTGGTAAAAACTCAGTTCTGGCTCTTCTCAGACGCAGAGGAGTCAGGCCAAAAACCCAGATCCGAGCAGGGCTGGGCTGTTTGCAGCCACCAACGCTTCCAGCTGTGCCACCAAGCCACCACAGCCCTCAGAAGTTGCCACCGAGCCACCACAGCCCTCAGAAGCTGCCCACAGCCACGCTCCCAGCCTGCCTGGGCAGGCAGAGGCACAGCAAGGACAGCCATGAGAACACCGGGAATCCTCAAATGCAAGAACTGCACTAGATGGGTTTGGAAAGTAAATGCTCCGTTTTCCACTTGTTAGGGTGCCCAGTTTGTCCAGTAAAGCATTCCCAGTGGATAAAATAACACCCTTCCAAGCCACTGCAGGCTGGGAGGGAGGAATCTTCCAGCAGCAGCCTCAGCAATGTCACAGTGACTTTTAGATATTTGTAATCATGGCCCAGTTTGGGCTGGAAGGGACCTTGAGAGCCCATCCAGTCCCACTGGGCACCTTCCACTGTCCCAGGCTGCTCCAAGCCCTGTCCAACCCAGCCTTGGGCACTGCCAGGGACCCAGGGCAGCCACAGCTTCTCTGGGCACCCTGTGCCAGGGCCCTGCGTTTAACCCCGTGCTGCCCAACACAGCAGAGCTGCACCTGGAGCCAGGTGTTGCTCCCTGTGCCGAGGTCTGAGCTCTGTGGCTGTGTCTGAGCCAGCTTTAAATAAAGAAACCTTACCAAGGCTCCCTCCAGACACGTGGCGTAGTGGTAGCCACGTCCCATGATGAGGACAGACTTCTGGTGGTACAGCTCTGTGGCCAGCTTCTGGATCTCATCATCCATGCTCAGCACTTCTTTAATCAAGTCTAGAGGGAAGGGGGAGAGCCCAGGTTGAGTGTGCTCACGTGTGTGCCTCACACCCCACTCACTCACACAGCCTGGGCTCACAGCTTCGCTGCTCCGGGCTGGTGGCCAGGAGACACCTGAGGGAACGTGGCCACAAGGAACTGTGACGGCCCTGCCACCCTCCTGACCCCCCCAGCCCCTCCCTGCTGAGCTGCCCCTGCCCAGGGTCTCACCTGGCAGCCCCTTCAGCCCCCGCATGATCTCCTTGCGCCGCTCCTGCATGGAGATCCTGTCGTCACACATCATCAGGGCAAACATCACCAGGGACACGAACTGGCTGGTGTAGGCCTGGTGTGGGGCACAGAGAAACGTCACTGCTGCACCAGACACTCAAATCCTCAGCCCAGCTGTGTCTCTGCTCTCAGTGTGACACCAAGTGGCAGCTTTCATCCCAAGTTAGCAGCAGAAATGAACGTGGGCTCGCTTGGGCAGATCTCAGCACAATGATCAACTCAAACTCCAGGAGATTCACACACAACCGAGGTTTTATATTCCAAGATTCCCTGGGGACTGCCAAACCCTATTTTGTGACCATGCCCAGGTCCTCCTTCACTGTGAGTGACTCCTGAGAACGCTGGAGAGCAGCAGGGCACTGATGGAGATGTTTGCTGGGAGCCCACGAACATTCCAGCTGGGATTTTTCTGGACCACCCTCAGGGAACACAAAGGCAGCTGTGATTTCCCAGCTCCCTTCTTCAAGAACAGACTCTCCTGAACTCCTCCCCTGTCTGCAAGAGCTGCCTTTGGGGGGAACCCCTGCACAGAGGGCTCACACCAGGGCAGCTCAGCTCGCGGGGATGCTGAAACAGCAGCTGCAGTTTGGCCTCTCAGGCCAGGTGTTATGGAAAGGGTTTGGGGGGCAGCCTGGCACTGAAGCCATGCACAGGATCAAGGTGTGGAGTGTTTTTGTCTGTTCCTAAACCATGACCACACAAACTCCCACGTGGCTGCACTGGAGACTGAAATGGCTCTGAAGGAATGCAGAAAAGCTGCAGTTCCAGGGCCTGGAGGAGCCTGCTGGGGAGGGGGAGCTGCTCTGCTCTGTGCAGCTGCAGGCTGCAGAACTGCACAGCAGCCACATTAACATGCCTGGGCTGATCAGAATATTCTCAAAAGGAAGTTCTGGGCAAGCTCAGGACAGAAACTTTTCATGTTCTTATTTCATATATGCACAGCTTTGGTAACTCCCCACATCATCAGAGAAAAAATGTCATTTATATCCAAACTGTAACTGCTGGCCATATGAAAACAACAGGGACAAACAGCTCGTTCAAGAGTTTCTTGTAAGAGACCATGAATTTTCCATGATCAAATTCCCCAATGAACTATTAAACTCAAATGTGGTTTTTGGCTGAATTTATGTAACAGATTGACATCATCTCGCCTTTAAATATAACTAAACCAAAGCAGATTTCACCATGCAGTCACTTCAGCAAAGTAAGTTATTTTATACTGTATCTCACACAGCCAGAATAACCCTGTTACCTGGACACAAATGGTAGGTTTCTGTAAAAGACCATTCCCCCAGTTGTTAAAAGTAGAGTTTTAATATCCCATTTTCTTTGGTAAAGCAGAGCCAGTGAGGGAGTTACACGCAGACAAAGTTTCCATGATCTTGTCTGCTAATTTCCTTTCTCCTCTTAGTTTAAACTGAGCCTGCACCTCGAGACAATGGCAAAGAGAATTCTGGCCTCTTGGGGAATCCTTCCCTCTGACACCCACTCATTTTCAATGTTTAATGCAGCTTCCTTGCATGATTTCATTTTTTATCCAAATAAAAGCCCTCTGCAAGCTCCAGGACAGGGAGCCCGCAGGGTGCTGCAGGTCTGTAGCTGCACAAGCAGCAGGTAAAGAGGGGGTGCTGTCACAGGGGTGTTTCCAGAGGCAGGAACAGCAGATCCCAGCAGGGAGGGCTGTGTCTGAGCCTCACCTTGGTGCTGGCCACGCCGATCTCGGGGCCCGCGTTGATGTGCACGCCGCAGTCGGTCTCGCGCGAGATGGAGCTGCCCACGGTGTTGGTGATGCCCACGGTCAGGGCTCCCCTCTCCTTGCAGTAGCGAAGGCACATCAGGGTGTCTGCTGTCTCCCCTGGAGCACAGAGAGCACGGGGATGGGAGCTGAGTGCTGCCACTGAGGGTGGGAAATGCACAAACTCCCCCAGCACAGCCCCTCATCGCTGCCTGATAAGATTTTCCTGGAACCTGGGCTTGTTTTTCTTAGTTTGCCAAGTCCAACACTTCAGGGGAAGATGGAGCCCCTGGTGTGCCCCCAGGAGTGTTCCCTGGTAGACCAGAACAAAAACCTGCCTTCAAAAACCCAGGGAGAACCTGACCCTGAGCCCCCACAGAGAGGATATTCTGAGACACTTGGTGCTGAGAGGAAAAAATTGTTCCCCAAATTGAATTGTTCCCCAAAAGGAAGAAGAGATAAAGTGGAGATAAGTGGAGATAAAGGAACTGACTGGGTTTAGTGTCACAGCTGAAGATCAGTCATGAAAACCTGAAATACAGCTAAGGGGAGAAAATGTTGTTTTGCATGGCAGTTGTCCTTGAAATACCTCATGTACATTTTTTATGCCTCAGTGTACCTTTTATCTCCTACTCCTTTCCAAGTTAGTTGGATTTTTTGTTATTCATGCCTGAGAATTTCATTTCTTCTGTGGCTCCAATCCACCATATGGTGGTGCTTTAACTAGAGAACTCCAACTGTTCCAAAGGAGCTGTGGAGCTGCCTGCACCCTGAGCTCAGCAGCACTCTGCAGCCTTTGATTGATGCAGGGAAAGGAAACAAAACTCCTGTGAGCCACAGGAGCCCTGCAGAGGGAGGGAGCAGAACCTCCCTGGTGCTCCCACCCCTGGAATCAGTGTTTTCCCTCCCATCAGCACACCAAACCCTGCTGCTCCCTGGGTTTTGGGGAGGGGGCTGTACCTGACTGGCTGAGGAAGAAGCAGACGTCGTCCCTGAACACCGGGGTGTTCCTGTCCAGGAAGTCACTGGCCAGCTCCACCATCACAGGTAACTCCGTCAGCTCCTCCAGCACCTGCCGGGTCTGGCACAGGGAGGGGCAAGGAGACATTACATCATGTTTATAAAACCAAGTGTTTGCACAATAAAAACCTTTCCAGCTGCCACAGGCTGGAAAATATGACTGTTAAAACCCCATGTGAAAATTAATGCTGGATTATACCTTAATTACTCAGTGTTGCCCACCCTCAGTCACCAGCAACCCCTGTGAGAAGCAAGCTTGCCCTGGCACCAGCAGCAGCCTGTGAGGCCAGCTCCTCCCTCAAATGGAGATTTCTCTTAAGCAAGTCTCACTTATTATATAACCCTGGATATCAATTATGTAATGCTGGGTGTCCTGAGGAACTCCAACCACCAAGCCTGGGTCCCACTGGCTCCTGGCAGCCCCTGCCTTGCTGCAGTGTTTGCATTCTGCTCCTGCATCGTCCCTCCCCTGCCAGCTGCCTTCTTTAACACAGCAGCTTTTGTTGTCCAAGGCCTTCCTCAGCCATGGAAGTCACAGGAACCACTTCCCTACGTTCAGGTTCATCAGTTTTTATTTCCTGCTGCTGCTGCTGTGAGCTGAGTCTGGTGTTTACAGCTTTCACAAGGGCCCTCCTTCACTCACCCGTGTGCACTTCACCTGATTAAGGTTAAGAATCAATCCCTAACCTGAAATCAATCCTTAATCTGCTTGGCACACTCCAGACACTCTCCAGGGAGAGCTCAGGGGCTCTCCCAGGGCCTAAAGGGGCTCCAAGAGAGCTGGACAAGGGATGGAGTGGCAGGACAAAGGGGAATGGCTGTAAACTGAGAAAGGGAAGACTTAGATGAGATTATTAGGACAGAACTCTTCCCTGGGAGGGTGGGCAGGCCCTGGCACAGGTGCCCAGAGCAGCTGTGGATCCCTGGAAGTGTCCAAGGGCAGGTTGGACGGGGCTGGGAGCAGCCTGGGACAGGAAAAGTGTCCCTGCCATGGCTGGGGTGGCACTGGATGGGCTTCAAGGTCCCTGCAGCCCACCCCACTCTCTGATCGTGGCCCTGAGCCCAGCCCAGGCCCCAGAGCCCAGCACTCACTGCCACTCCTGCGTGGTAACTTGTGCCACAGGCAATGAGGATCAAGCGCCGACACCTCTGGATCTCCTTGATGTGATCCTTCAGCCCACCCAGGTTCACTGTGGGCAAGATCAGAGAGCAAAATCAGGGTGGCCAGGTAGGAGTTCCCAAGATTGCTGCTGTTAACAGCATTTCACCCTCTCCATCATCCACCAGGCAAGAAAACGTGATAAAATGGGACCTTGGTGGAATTCTGGAGGCACTCTGACACACATTTCATCTCACACCAGCCAGGTTTCCACCTCCCACTTCCACCCTGGGTAACTGCTGGACACTGAGCTGTCACAAGTCAGGGAGGCACAAGTTCAATTACCAGTGTAGTCATCAAAGTTGACCCTTCCTCTCATGGTGTTAACAACAGATTCTGGCTGTTCAAATATTTCCTTCTGCATGAATGAGCTGAAGTTTCCTGTGAAGAAAGACAGAAAACAGATTAGAACACTTTACCTCCTGGTAACTTAAAATTTTAAATTACCTCCTGCTAACTGCCATTTTTCCTGGGCATGTAGGGAAAAGCTTGGAGCAGCCAAAGATTATTTAACTGATACTTCTTTCTCTGCCAAAACATCTGCTCATGATGAGAGCTCGATTCGAGTTTCTGGAAGGTGTCAGTGAAGGGCAGATCCAGACTGGCAGGTTTGTGAGAGGGATCAGTCTTGGAAAAACCAGATGGGCTCCAAGCAGGAGGCAAAATCCCCAGCCCCACAGCTCTCCTCAGTGGGGTGTCAGTGACTGGAGGGAAAGTGCCATTACGTGAAAGGACTCTTTTCCCCACCTGGGTGATACAGGCTGTGGCACCTCTGTCCCTGGAGATGCTCCAGACTGGAGGAGCAGGCTTGGGGCAGGGATGGCAGCAGGTGACCCCAGCCCCCCGTACCCTGCCACAGCACCCGTGCTCCCAGGTACCCCCAGATGCCCCCCAGATGCCCCCAAGGTGCTCTCAGGTGCCCCCAGATGCCTCCAGGTGCCCCCCAGATGCCCCCAGGTGCCCCCAGGTGCTCCCAGGTGCCCCCAAGGTGCTCCCAGGCGCTCCCCAGGTACCCCCAGATGCCCCAAGGTGCTCCCAGGTGCACCCAGGTGCTCCCAGGTGCCCCCAGGTGCCCCCAGGTGCTCCCAGGTGCTCTCAGATGCCCCCCAGGTACCCCCAGGTACACCCAGATGCTCCCAGATGCTCCCAGGTACCCCCAGGGTTCTCCCAGGTGCTCCCAGGTGCCCCCAGGTGCTTCCAGGTTCTCCCAGGTGCCCCCAGATTCTCCCAGGTGCCCCCAAGGTGCTCCCAGGTGCCCCCAAGGTGCTCCCAGGCGCTCCCCAGGTACCCCCAGGTGCCCCCAAGGTTCTCCCAGGTGCCTCCCAGATGCCCCCAGGTGCCCCCAGGTTTCCAC